TTGGGTTACGAGTCCGACTCTCTAACCATTAGGCCACGGCTTCCCGTGCGTGTGTGCGTGTGTCAGACACGTTTTATACTCATCCTTCAGTTATAAGTACATTTATTCATTTTTATGGACCCTTATCACAGGCTGTGATGAAAAGAGACTGTTTCCAAAATCACTTTTCATATTGACAGATCACGAGAATGAATGCAAGTTGGTCTCAGGGGTTTCGATGTGTGGGGTGCGAGAACATGTCAGGGAGGCTCAGATACTAATTTGAATCAGTAAATTATAACGAAAACAATACCTTAAAAATGAAAGGAAGCAGGTTTTTGCGATCACATCATTTAAAACCGGTAAACTCCTGGAAACTCCAAGGATCCAGTAAGCAAATTCAAACAGTAATTAAAAAATGGCACTAATGCAGAGAAAACACGGCCAATTTCATCAGAGATTGGGGAGAGAATAGTGACTAAAAGGCTACGTCCAGATGTCATTAAATTATTATTTTCAGCATGTATTTGGCTTAAAAGCAAGAGCTTTTATTAACAGATGCTGGCTGAAGGTTTTAGATTAGACGGTGGTCAGTGGTTTAGTGATTCTGAATGGATCCGTATTAGTACAGGCGTTTAGTGGTCTTTGGCATCTCCTTGTGGTCCTGTTTGGTATGGCAGCTTGACTTGTGCTTACTTATATTGAAAACATTTAATTAATTAATTACTGATTGATTGTGGCACTATACATACATTTTGTATAATTAAAATTACAAAGTACTTATTTACATAAGAAATAAATGGGGGGGGGGTACCGACACTACTTTTACCACTTCAAGCACTGTGTGTGTGTGTATTGTGTATTGTTTAATTAATAATTAATTAAACGTTTTCAATACAAATAAGCAAAAGTCAAGCTGCCACACCAAACAGGACCACAAGGAGACGCCAAAGACCACTAAACCGCCTGTACTAATACTTTTTTCACTTCAAGCACTGTATAACACTAGTTTAACAGTCAATCTGCATGGTCTCCCCTTTTCTTGTTCCGGTGTCTCAATTGTTTCCTCTGGAACATTCCTCTGTCGCAAGAACCCAATTAGATCATCCATCCTGTAGACAAACATATGTCAGGTTTCATTCTATAAGGCTTCATCCAATTGACAAGTTTGATTACCAG